GGGTTGTAAACACAACTAATATCACATCTGTTCTCTGAAATAAACGGACCACAATAAGATGCAACGGATCAATTTTCTTCACTGGAAAATTTTGTTTTGGTCGAGGGAGACACAGGATGTAAAACAAAGCATGATCTTTTAACGTGGCCGTCTCTTGTTACATTTATCTGATGCAGAAACACATCAGAAGTTCCTGAATCTCACTAATAATCATTTGTGTTTTGTCTTTGTGTCAGCTGGATTTTGTTTAGATCTAATCACATGACTGATCATTCTCAGCTTCTTAATGATTAAAAATATTATGATGGCTGAAGTGTTTAAGCAGCCTAAAATTTGTGCACAATAGTAAAACTCAATCTTTACTTGAACCTAAAGTCCATTTTACAACAAAACACTGTGAGGGTAAAACAGACTTCTATAATCCTCTATATTTGGGTGTAAAAGACTAATAAAAACAAAAACATTACAGCATAAAAATGAAAGAAAAAGTCAGGTTGAGGCTTGTGGTGACTTTATATTAAAAGGCCTGCTTAGAATAGGTTTCAGCATTCAGTTAGGATCATTCTGCTCTGTGAATGAATAAAGTTATTGTGTGTAAATACGTTACCTATATTCATGATGCTGTCTTTTTCTGGGTTGAAGAAAAGCCAGTCATAAAAGAGAGCCAGCTTGGCATTGGAGGCAGCTACATTTGACTGCAGAGAAGCAAATCAAGTGGACGAGTTATCTCCTTTATTTAAGTGCAACTTTCACATTTACAGCCYATGATTGTATGATCCTACCGTGCAGGTGGTAAGTAGCCAGCCAATGATAGCCCAGCGTGGCAAGATATCAGAGCTCAGCACCTCATTGGATGGATGGACGACCCCACAGATGTATCTGATGAGGTCACAGCGCAGCGACTGGCTCTCTGCTGTGGACAGATACTGTTTCTGAAACCAGTCCTGGTACCGCTTCTGCTGCCCAAAACGTACCTGCACATGTGTGGAGAGACAGAAACCCGTGAGCCGAGAGACAAAACAAAAACACACCCGAGTCAGAGGTGGAGACGTGATCACTGACGAGGAGTTCGGTTTTACCCTGGAGGTCATGAAAAGCAGCTTAGTCTCCATGTCCGGTGTGAGTCGACAGGCGAGGAATTTACGGGACGTTCGAGCCGTGAGAAGCTGGAGTATACCTGAAGAAATGACATCACCTATGTTTGACTATCAGAATAAATTAAACCTGAAAGTGTGTGAAAGACACAAACAAAAAACCCAGTTACGTAAAGTGAGAATGACAGGTTTTGCAATTTACCGGTGAACTGAGGACTAAGAACTTGTGGGTTGTGCAACAAGTCTCTCCACAGCAGCTCCATCTCCGGGATCCGAGCGACGTTCTGCAGCAGACGAACCAGATCTCTGCCAATGATGAGGCACTCCATAAACTACAGAAACACAAACTCACCAGGTTAGCACTGTARGAAGCAGGAAATTAAAAACAGCTACAATCCCTCACTTTCACTGCACCCTTTTGTTACCTTTTCCCTCAGCATGCTGATGCAGAAATCAACTTCTTTTTGGCGCAGAGGCAACAGGTTTGGGACTCCATGGTCGACAATTAAACGAAGGTAGGTGTAGACTGACATCGCTATTAGCATCCCATTCTTCGACACCCACTCCCTTCATAGAACAGATAATTCAACAACTTCATAAAATACAATTAATCAACCGCTTTGAAATAATACAAAAAACACTACATCTGTAGCAAGCAAAAAGAATTTTGGCAAGTGGCAACAATATTTACATAATAGATGTAAGTGAAGCTTACTTTTGCTCAAGCAAAATGTCTAAGACATTCTCAGCCAACCATAGATTTTTTGTGGAGATGTCTCCTCCTGTAAAAAGCAAACAGCAGCATTACATTTAGAAAAGAGCTTGATTTTTTATACAAAAGATATAACGCACAAGAGTCTGACCTGCAATTTGTTTCAGAAGCGTCATGATGACACCATCAGCACCAGTTACTCCACTCTTGACCAGCTCTCTGACCAGCCACACCAGCTGTACACACAGAGCCCATCATTTATAATCACATTACATACTTGTCTTCATTAGTGTGTTTCTGTGTACAACAAATGAGTTTACCTGTGTTCTTGGAACATCCTGCAGTTTGAGGAACTTCTCCATGAGTATTTGGTTGATCTTTACGAGAACTACGTTCATGCCATCTCTGCTCACTAGAGTCAGATCTCTGTAACACTGCTCCAACAAAACACACACAGGAATTAGGTTACAATGTTGAAGCCACAAGTATGTAAAAAAATGGCTAAATATGCAGAGGTGACTCACCCTCTGAGCCTGAGTTGGTTCTGTGAGGGCGAGCGTAAACAAACCGAGGCATACCTCCTCGTGCTGCTGTTGACCTTTACAAACCTGCCAAACAGGTAAACATAAATTCTAATTTTTTATTATTACTGTACAGTCACAATGCTTCCTCACAAAATAAACATAAGCATCAAAATCACATAGGCAAAAGAACACCTTCCACTAACTTGATAAGAAAAACACTTAATGCGAAAAAAATCACAAAATACTGTGTAAATCAAAGCAAAGTTGAAAACATCTGAAATTAAATTAATTCTGAAGTCAGGTTTTATGTAAAAAAAAAATAAGTACATCAAAAACTTTCCTAAAGTAGGGCTTGTTGTTAACAAAGCACCTGTCATAGTTTTCCTAAGATTTGTGCAGTACTGGTCATAGTATTAGTAGCAATTGTTGTCATAGAATCTGTTGCATTAACGTGTGCTTCTTACGCTAACGTTGAGCGCATCATTGGCCTCTCGCTCTGAAAGTCCGTTACTCAAGGCCTGAACGATTCCAACACATCGCTCCAATCTCTGCACACAAACACAAAATCCAACGTGTGAAAAAAAAAAAAAAAACAACAACAATGGGATCACTTCCTTTCCACATGCAGACACATCAGGAATAATGATGACTGGTAAAAAAAAAGAGTGCATCACTAAAATGAAGACAAAATACATTTACATAATAATGATCGATAGGTGCTCTTTAAACCAGAGTGACTGTAATCTAAGATTTAATGTGTGTAGGAAAGGTAGATATGCAAATGAATAACCTGCACATACACAACTAGTAACGAACCACATAAATTCACTGATTTTAATAATTCATTTTAAGACAAAACTATTGCTTGACAGTAAAACAGCTTTGTTCTGATTATAACGATCATATGGCCAAGATGCTTATATGTATGATAAGTTCAAATGGTGACGACTGCACCAATTCAATAAAAGGTAAAACCCAGCAGCAACAACACAAACATACATAAAAAAGTCCAACAGCACGCAACACAACGGATATGCAATCTTAACACAGCCATGTAGGATGACAAATAGAATGACATACATCACAGGCACACTTAAAGAGAATTACAATAAATAAACCCACATTTATTACTATATATAACAACTGAAAGGCAACCATTTGTCAAGCTTCAAACTAGTACAACAAGAACACCATCACAATGCCTGTAATATAAACACAAGGCTGGAAATTTGACAAAAAATTCAATTATGTTTGATTTGTTCTGTAAACAAAAATTCAATAATCCCCATTACGGTACTGTGAATTAGTAAAATGTATTTAATATAATCAAAAAATAAACARATCAACTGTCAGGTTCTAAACAGGTCTGACATGTGAAACAATGCGCATGCGCAACTGTCACATAGGTCTCATCCATATGTTTACGTTGAATTAGCATGCTAGGCTAAATTCCATAAGCTTTGGGACTTCAAATCACAAACACAGCATCTCCGAGAGCACAAACACAAAGAACCCACGCCACAACTGTCTCTCACTGAGCTCTTTGTCTTAAACGATGTGTCCACGCACGTAAAAGGACAACTTTGCTGAACTACCGTTGCTACCCTTCTGCTAGCATTGCTAACTAGCCTGTTAGCGGCTTGTAGTTGATAAAAAGGTTCCATCATGTCTTTGTACGTTCTGCTACTTTAAAATTAAAACTGCTTCTATTTGCCTGTACGCCACCTCTGTCCCGGTTCGTTCACAGTAACGTATTCTAATTGGGCCGCAAACCCTGATCTCCCTACCTCTTCTAACTCGTCTTTGGCATCCAGCGGGGTGGACACCAGGAGCCGGCCCTGTGGCTTCGCTTTCGCCGGTGCAGGCTCCATCTGCTCCCGCCGCGCCTCGCCGGGCCCCGCGGAGCTGTGAAGGGATGGGACTGCCGGTGCACGGGTGTTATAGGTGTTTGTATCGGTGTAATGAAGAGTCCGGGGCTGTGGTCCGGATCAAAACCTTGCTATGAATCACTTCAGCCTGTTAATATGTGTTTTTAAAACTTATTTAAAGATAGCTTGAACTATGAGTCCTACTCCGTGACACCGTCCGAACACAGTAACATAACGGACATCCGTACCGACAGGGTTGAGGGACGGGGCGGTGACCACGCTGCGCAAGGACCAATCAGCTAACTTACTCATTTGAGTGACGTAAGTGTAACCCAATAGCAGGTGAGAACTCATCCAGCCAATTCCAGGCGTGCTAAACTGGGGACCACCTGCATGCACGCCACTTCACCTTGTTTACAAAGAACTAACAAATCATCCTTACTATAAATAGCAATGAAAAACAACCAGAATTAAATTGACTCCAATTACTGTGTCTGATTAATACATAACCATTATTTACTGGTAAAACTCTAAAATATTATCCAACTGAAAATATTTTAAAACATAAAATATGTGCATCCTACAATGTATTTACATAGTAGTTGTGGATGTAATAACCCAAGTGTGCAAATAAACCTTTTTAAAACAAATTTAAATTCTTTTTTGTGTGACACAGCATAACGTATAGCTCTGAGATGTTAAATCAGCTGTTTTGACTTTTTTAATTTCTAGCGTAGTCTTTTAAAAATAAGATTGACAAGTGTCGAGATTTCCCCCCAATACGTAAAAAACAACACAAAAGTAACAATACACATTTTATTTTGTATTTACACATTTTTTCCTTCAGATGACTTATTTTACAGTGAAACATTCGTTATGTCCGTATCTGCTTCTCTACAGTTTATCTCTGGTGAAACCAGTTCGGCCTCTGACTTGTGACTTTAATCGATGATACAAACGACCGTCCAGTCAGAGGGGGAAAAAAAGATAGTTTGGACTATCATCCATCAGATGGGGTCGTTCTGGAACAAGTCGTTTCTGTCAGTCTCCCTCAGGTCTTTGTCAGTTTTTTTCATCTTCTCCTAGCAGCCAGTATGTCCTCATGCGTCCTTTGCCCTTGACTTCAATTTCTCCTCTGAGTTGTAGCTGGAAGTATCCGAACTCCTGCAGGACTTGTCGAGTTGCCTCCGACACATGGATCTTCAAGGCTGGGGGGATATGGCATCAAAGTGGCTGATTTCACTGTTAACTTATTTCGATTTTATTTTTGCATGACGTAAACAAAAAATAAAGTCGAATATTGTGAATATTTTGTTTCTTCTGTTATATTTAATGAAGGAGCCATATTTAATTGATACAACAGTCTCCTTACTTTTTAAACTAAAAAAATTGCATTACCTAATTTTAATTATTCAAATTTGCTTAAAAGGCAAATAAGGTGTCTGCATTCTGTGAGTGAAAACTTGTAATTTAAGTGTTTTTTAAGTGGAGAACCTATAATCTGTCTATTTTAAACACACTTCTGCAGGATGTCCTGATGCATCTCAGTAATCCAGGTAAAAAATCAAAAAGAAAAAAATTGTRTAGGTCTTCTGGACGGGTTCTTCTCTAATGAAACGTTTCGTCTCTCCTCCAAGAGACTTCTTCAGTCTGAGAGTTTCAGGCAAAATTCAGGCTTTTAAGCCCTGCCTCCATGTGACTGATACTCACATCACATGGCTATCGTTGACACCTAATCAACACCTATTGTTAACAGGGGGTGGAGTGATACTGGCAATAGCAGCACTGTAGGAGGGGAACAACTGAAAACGGAGGCCTCCACCTCTGTTTAATGATGGACGGTCTTTCTTCACAAAAATGGCTTCTTTTACTCCTCTCTCAAACCAACGTTCCTCTCTATCAGCAGCCACTGTTCAAAAGAATGTCCCAACACAGACGAGCTACATCTAATGGCCAGAACTCTGCAGTTTTCACTCATTTACAGGCCAGCGGTCACTCTTTCAGAGATGAGGATGTTCTCATTCTTGATAGAGAGGAACGTTGGTTTGAGAGAGGAGTAAAAGAAGCCATTTTTGTGAAGAAAGACCGTCCATCATTAAACAGAGGTGGAGGCCTCCGTTTTCAGTTGTCCCCCTCCTACAGTGCTGCTATTGCCAGTATCACTCCACCCCCTGTTAACAATAGGTGTTAATTAGGTGTCAACGATAGCCATGTGATGTGAGTATCAGTCACATGGAGGCAGTGCTTAAAAGCCTGAATTTTGCCTGAAACTCTCAGACTGAAGAAGTCTCTTGGAGGAGAGACGAAACGTTTCATTADAGAAGAACCCGTCCAGARGACCTATACAACTTTTTCTTTTTGACTTCTGCAGGATCTTCATCTCACCCTCTCCTGTGGACTCCATGCGTGACGCAGTGTTGACTGTGTCTCCAAACAAACAGTACCTGGGCATCTTCAACCCGACCACGCCAGCGCACACAGGGCCTGAGCACATACACACAACCAGGTATGTGGAGGTGTATGTATTTATTTATTTATTGTGTTGTTCGGCGTTATCATACCGCTGTGAATGCCGATGCGAAGCCGGAGCTGCTGGTTGGGTCTGTGCCGAATCCGGAAGTTCTTGACGGCGTCCAGCAAGGCGAGAGACATCCGCGTCACCTCCCGGCCGTGCAGCTTACCGTTCCTGACTGGCAGACCTGACACCACCATATAAGCATCCCCAATAGTCTCCACCTGAGGGGACGTCACTAAATTTTAAACTGTTCTGATTCAGTTTGGCCGAGGAAGTGTTTATTAGCCAGGGAGCAGAATGCATAGTTTATTGTTCTCTTACCTTGTAAACATCAAAGTTGTCGATGATGGCATCAAAGCAGGTATAGAGATCATTTAATAAAGTCACGACCTGCAGATACAAATAATTCAGGTAAATATTTCACAACAACTAGGCACAAATGTAAGCTTTTATTTAATGATATCTATTTTGTCAGACTTCTTTAAATTAAATTGTCATCAAACTTTAAATGCATTCAACAGGAATGCACTGGTCGTAGCTGTTTTTCTCATGAAACACACCTAATACCTGCATAGTTTAGTCTTTTGTGCTCTTGTGGTTTCTTCAGCTATAGTTCTGTAGCAAAGATGATGACAGCTCCAGCCAAACTTGACCACAATTGCACAACTTGATCAATAAAAAAACTTTTTAATGAGTTTTTTCTGCTTTCTACTCTGCAAATAATCCAAATGTTACAGTAGAGTTTGTCCTGCAGTGCTGACCTCTGATAAACAGAGCCAGTCAAAATGTGGGACATCATCTCAATCCAGGACAGGGGATAAAAATGATGTGCGGTTTCACAGAAAGTAGGCCGTCTAACCATCGTGCAATCTGTAGGCTGACAGCAGYGGTGGCTTTGCACCACTAGGTGGCAGCCTGGTTGTTTCGGGTTCTTGTCCACAGACATGTTTTATGTAATGTGTCTATGGTTCTGACATTTCTAACGTCCTGATCTTATTCCTGAAAGTCAGCCAGTGAGCTCTGCTGAGGTTTCACCGACCTGCAGCGGCGTGCTCTCTGCAGACAGAGCGGTGAAGCCGACGATGTCGCTGAAGTAGATGGTGACCGAGTCGAAGGCTTCGGCCTGAACCGTCTCGCCCCGTTTCAGCTGCTCGGCCACAGAACTGACACGAAAACAGAATCAAACACGGAGAGCTGAGAGTCTATGACACGGACTAATGTAGCAGCTGCATTGCTTAATTTTAAGTATAGTTACTGTGGAAGAATCTGGTACAGCAGGGCCTCGGCCTTTCGTTTCTCCTCATTATAAGCTTGAGTTCGTTCCTCCACCAGCTCCTCCAAGTTGTTGGCATACTGCTCCATACGAGACAGCAGGTTGTCCAGGATGTTGGACCCATAACCTCTAAAGACACAAAAATATTTAGTCACTAAATGCTTTATAGATAGATAGATCCTTTATAAACCCCAGGGGAAATGCAAGGCATCCATTAGCAATTGCTTATTGCACAAGGTCAGTAAAGATAAAGGTATAATACATGAAATTATACCTTATTCGAATGAAACTAATTAATTACAAATGATCCTACAGAGTCTAAATGAGTTGACGGTACAGGATATCCTGGTGTTGTGCTCTCTGCACCTGTGTTGTTTCCTCAGCAGGATCTTAATGGTGTGGAAGTCAGGCCGCTCGCTCGGCTCTTCGCTCCAGCAGCGCTGCATCAGGACGCCCAGCTCCTCGCTGTGACTGTGGAAGCAGAGGGAGGGACGGAGCGGGGGTAGGTCACCGTGAACCACCGCCCGGATGATCTCTGAGGAATGTTGTGCACAGGGAGAAAATGTTAAACACGACGTTTTCAAAAACAGAAATTAAACTGTTCTGTTCTGAGTTTGAGCTTCAGATCTATAAATGTCAGTTTAACATTTAAAAAAGTGTTGAATTTAGACAGAAGACTAAATCTAAGGCAGCTTTTAGGCTGTGAAGCAGTTTATTTTTTAGCTGACAGGTGGTTCTAGGTAAATATTCATCACTCCAGTTGCTTTGGAAACGCTCCTGATTATTTCTCATCTGAAACTAAATCAGTCAGATTCTCCAATCCGGTCGATTGTATCAGACTTTTCATCATATTCATCCACTAATTCAACAACAGTCTCAAATTTCACTGACATTAAACAGTTTCCAAGGTCTTGTTCATTTAACATGTTAATTAAAACTGACTACAACATACTTAGAATTATCTACATTGGCTTAGCAGTCGTTCTTCCTAAAAATGTTTTTGATTTTTTTATTTGCTAACAGAAAGTTTGACTACAAAACCATTATTTTAAAGTGTTTTGCATTTCATTTAAAGTGCCATGCATATCCTTCAAACACAAAATGTCAAATAAAACGTATTTATATTTTAAAAATTTGGCATAATACACACAATTTTACCCATTCTGTCACATAACCGGCATATTTTCTTCTTAATTTGGCTCAACCAAAGTAAAACAGGAAGTGACATCAAAGGGGAATTCTTTTAGAAAGGAAACTTCATGGTCTTTTTTTATTAAAACAATATTAATTCAACGCTTCTTCATCTCTCTAATAGTGACTCAAATTAGTCTAAAGAAACATCAGAGTCTTCTCTACAGCCTGTGTTGTCATATTTTGTAGCATCRCTCTGTTCACATGCAGACATTCCCCTTTGACATCACTTCCTGTTACTTCACATGCAAATATCTCAACAACTTTTCATGTCAGTGGCATGAAATTTCTTTTGCAACATGTTATCAGTGTTATCTTTCCAAAAATTAATTCATATTTATTGCAAAAATTTGATGTCACAGGCACTTTAAAACCTACAGTTGCTTTATTGAATGAGTTGTGGTTATTTTAAACGTGTGTTTGAAAACTACGAAATACCAAAAGAGGTGAACTCTTGCTTGTGACGCCACAATTACTTCTGTTTGTCAAAACCAAAGGTTAACAATGAGAATAAACCGTTCAAAAATCAGCCTGATCCACAGCGCTGAAACAGCCACATTAACGTGAGCGTTCTCTGTTTTTTAACGCTGACCAGAAAGCAACATGTTTGTTTCAGGAATTCAGATAATACGTGACACACGGAGAGCTCCTGAACGAATCACCGGTGGGTTAATGATGTGTTGAAGGCGACGGGTCATCCGGCTGCCACACAGGAATGCAAATAATACCACACATTCATCAACATCTGTGTTTCAGGCCAGATAAGACGTTTGAATATCAGGTTGTGTTCAGCCAGTGTCCCGATCTCCACTGACCTTTAGGAGTGAGGGATTGTGAATCGAGGAAGAAAACTCCTTTGAGCAGAGCCACCTCCTGCAGGATTATACCAAAGCTGTAAACATCCCCCTTCTGGGTCCCGCAGAGGGGAGGGTACTCTGACCTCAGGAGCTCTGGAGCGGTCCATAGCTTACCTGCCAAGTGATTACACTTACAATTAAAAGATTAAACCGAATTAATGCTTTCTGAAACATATTTTTACAGCTTCTGTGAACAAACGTCCACAAGAAGGTGTGCATTGATCATCCATTTCACCGTACTGTATTAACGTGTGCGGATGCGTCATGCAGGTTTAGTAACACTGAAAGTGTGTGTGTCATACGTGCGTAGTAAGCGTGTGTGTCCTCAGGGCAGCTGCTGGTCCGCAGGCTCTGCAGCCCGTAATCTGTGATCTTCAGAACAAACCGACTGTCCACCACGCAGTTGGACGACTTCAGGTTCCCGTGAGAAACAATGACGCTGTTGTGGAGGAACGCCATCCCCTACAGAAAAGCAGACATACATAGAAATATGAGAGTTTAGAGAAAGAAACTGCAGAAATATGGGAACTACTTATCTGAAAACAGGCCTCCTTCCCTGCAAAAAAATGCCCATCTAGCCAAGTTTTAAAATCTTCTAGCCAGCCTTAAAGTATTTTTGATCATGTTTTAAGACTGATTTACTAAGAACAGAATGTTTAAGATTAATAATCTTGTTTCCAGAACTAGTAAGATTATTTATCTTGTTAGCCTGAAAATCTGACTCAAATTAAGTGAAAAACTTCTGCCAATCGAGTAAGAAAATTTTACTTGATAAGATTCTTGAAATACTTGATTTGACTCAATTTTTTTTTATTTCAAGTAAAGTTTTCTTACTCCAATGGCAGAGTTTTTTTCCACTAAATTTGAGTCAAATTTTCAGGGTAAAAAGATAAATAATCTTACAAGTTCTGGAAACAAGATTATTAATCTTAAACATTCTGTTCTTGTTTAGTAAATCAAAACAAGATCAAAAAGACGTTTTTTTTGGCTGGATATAAGATTTTAAAACTTGGTAAGATAGACAGTTGTTGCAGTGAATGGGATTTGTCTGGTTAAATAAAGTTAAAGGTTTTGTTTTATTTTCATGTTTATCATCTGTAAGTGAAAGGCGAAGTAGGAAGATGACCAAAGAAGTTGTCATTTCAACARTAGATTATTTTAGTTTAAAACTCGGACACAAAAGGCAGCTGGAGATATGGATTCCTGCAAAGACTGCTCAGCATTTAATTAGAATTTAATGACGGGTGTGTATGTGCTGAAATATAATAACAAAGTCAAATAAAAAACCTACAAAACCTCTAAAATAATCATACAAATCAAACTTTTTAGCTAACGACCCACAAAATAACAGTTGCAGAATTTGTGACCCCAGAAATGGTTTAAAATATGCAAACTTTGCTAATAACTCTGTTAATAATGGACATAATAATGAAAATATAAGCAAACCTAATAGTATTTATTTATTGCAATAAGTATGGGGGAAATATTCTATTACCAATTTATTTGCATTTTAATTGTCTGGATATCATCTGGGGACCCTCACTTGATGTTTCACGACCCACATCGGGGCCTTCGACCCCAACTTTGGGAACCACAAATATAAGACTATAAACTCTGTTCTTTGTGTTTGATTGACAGGCGCTGTCCTCAATCGCCCCGCCCACGACACTCTGCTGCACGGCATGCAGGTCGTTACCTTCACGATGTCGTTAATGAGAGAGTATCTGAACATCCAGTCCAGAGTGATGCCGTCGCTCTCCATCAGATCCTGCAGAACAAACACAAACAGGTCGGTCTGATCTGTGATGCAGGCGTGTTTCTGTTTCACAGCAAGAAAATAATCCAAACATACTGGGAAAAAGTCTTRAAATTCTTTAAAGTCGAGGAAATTTTGTACAGAAAGCAAAGTTTACCAGCAGCTTTGCAACAAAAACATGAATTTAAATCGAACAAATACTGTACACTCTTCATTAAAGACGGTAACATACACTCATATAGTGTTTCTTTGAACTTTCTGACCCAAAATCGATTCCACCCTTATAAAAACAGTTCTACCCTGAGCAGACGTTTGACTCTTGAGAAGATCTTTTGCACGAGCAGAGCACAGATTCCTGTTTGTTGAAAACCCGTCTGCCTCTGCAGGTGACGCGCCTCGCTTCAGAGCTCGGAAACACCTCTCCRTCCCTCGCAGGGCAGAAAATAACTCATTCCGCTCTTCGATTCCGCGGTCACCTGGCATCAACCCAAACCCCACGCAGCCCCGCATCAGGACCGCTATCTCCTCTCGTTGCTAGGTTACAGAACCAGAAGGGTTGCTAGGCTACAGGGCTGGAAGATAACGGAGATGTGGGAGAACATTGGGAAGTCTGAGAAAGTTTTACTTCTGGAGTGCTACCTGATGGTGTATGATGGAGGGGAACTGACAGCTGATTGACAGGTTTATGTTAATCTATTCTGCTGTCTTTACTCGCTTGTTGTTTTGTTTTTTATGTCCTTTATATTTAAAGATATTGAGCTAAATGTTGGTGTGTAAGCAGCTGAGAGTCATATCTAAGTGTCACGTCGTTTACCAGAGGTGTCAAAAGTATTCACATTCATTACTTAAGTAGAAGTTTAGATACTAGGGTTTTAAGATAAGATAAGATAAGATAAGATAAGTTAAGTTAAGTTAAGTTAAGTTAAGTTAAGATAAGATAAGATAAGATAAGATAAGATAAGATAAGATAAGATAAGATAAGATA